TCCCTACAGGAGTGTTCTGAGTAGCAGGTAGGTTTCAGAACTCTTCCAGGCAATCCTTTTAGTGCTATCATCAACCCTAAAGATTCCCGGCTTGGCTTGTGCTGCTGCCTTCCTTCCTTCCTTCTAGCTCTCTTTGGATTTGTCTTTTTCTTAGAACCTAAAGGACCACCCAAGCCCACCCACCATTCCCACCCCAATCCATTCTCCCCCCATACTGAAGTCAGTGATGAGGCTCTAAAGTTGATTATATTTATCCATTTATTAAAATATTTTAAGAAGCAATACTTTATTAACTTTGAGGACTGGTGTTCCACTGGGGAGAAGAAGATTAGGCACACATCGTGGACCTTTTCATTAATTACCATTATTTCATTACCATTTATGACCATTCATTTCATTTTCCCATACTACCCTATCTTCTTCCCCCAACCAGCCCCTGGCCCTGCTGCATATTTGCATGGAATTCTGAGGAAGCAAAAAAACACAGAACAGAAAACAACAATGTATTACAGATTAGCAGACAAATAGTAGCAAATCACAATCCTTACAGCCACTCAGTGTTTTTAAGGTAGAATGGTGAGAATAGGCTTGCTAGTTTTGGTATTAGTTTCTATCTATTGTGAAACCAAAATTCTTTAACTTGTGTCCAGAAGGAAGATGATAGTGACTCCAAATATTTCTTCTAGTCAACCTTTAATCTAATTTATAAACTTGAAATCTCTTCCTTACTCTTTTCCTGCCCCTTTGGACACAGTACAGGGCTTTCTTGGAGACAGGACTGAGCACTACTGACTTGTAGAGTATAGATACCAGAAGCAGTTGGTGGCCGTTCAAATCTATTGGATTTTTCCTTCCCTGCTGTTCTTTTGACCAGGAATTGCCTAGCCAATCAATTTCTCACAAAATTCTACCAAAGATGCAAGCAACCCCCAGCACCTCGACTCATAATGTTGATTCTGAACATAATTGAGATGGGTATTTGTCGTCTGGTGCCACCACCTGAGCACTTGTATTACTGTGAGAAATTAACCCTGAAGTCCTGAAAGAGGCTTTTACTCCCAGGATTAAGGCAACTTCCTTGAGATAGGGATTGCTTCTTGCTTTGTTCCCAGGTGAGCACATGCCAGAACAGGTGCTCAGCTATCTGTCTTCCTTTGTAGGAACTGGTAGCTGAGCAATTTGGAGGTAACCAAGAGCTATAACAAGCCACACCTGCTCCTGGACCTAATCATCTATCAGCTCTGCTCCGTTTTTTACTCCAGTCCCAAATCCTAGTGGTTTCATTCCATACCATTCTGACACAGGGTAGAAGAACGGGGTATGTGAAAAGGAATCTAGATGATACAACAGAATCACAGCAGCATTACAGTGTACACAGACCTATTGTACTTTAGCAAATAAGCACCATTTACTATCCTTAGTGATAAAAATAATTACAAGACAACATCTGCTTAATTACTGCCAAGATATGACTACCTTATTCCAGAACTTCCCTGTGTTTCCTTAACTTTGCTCACTTTTGAAGTTTTTCCTCTTGGAAGAGGTTCTTCTGAGAAAAATGCCACTTGTTTCCCAGATGTATGTGTGTGTGTGTGTACATGTGTGTGCAGGCTCTAATGTGTGCATTATGAAGGAGCCAAGTTGGGCTATAGCGGTGAGCTTGCTGATTGATCTAATACCTCCTCCTGGGAAGCAAGAGTGATATAGAAAAAGCCACAGTAACAGCACACTTTCCATTCAGTGCATACAATAACTTCATATTTTCTGGCAATCAAAGAGTTTTAAATGATTCATATTTTTCCATTGACTTCCTTCTCTGGCTATAGAACTAGGAATTTTGGTTTGGCACAGCAATCAGACATTGAGGACTGTCTCCTGATCAGTACTTTTCTCTTCACCCCTGCAGAGGTGGATCACAGGTGGCTGGTTTAGGTGGATTAAGCTGGTGGGATTCCAGAGTTGGGAACCTGTTCTTGGAATCTAGATTGTGCACCTCGATGAAACAGCCATTGGACTAAGTCATAAATAAGCTTGCTGTGTTTGTCTGAGAAGTGGGGAGAAGACAGATTTCTGGCTTTCTCTTGATAAGTGTGAAGGGACATTTACCCAAAAGTATGAGTTGAGGGTAGGGTGGGAGTGCAGGGAAGACCAGGGAGAACCTCTCCAGGCACTGGGATTGGATTAGACATGACTGACTGGGAGCAAGCATTCAAAAAAAGCCAATGAAGATTCAGAGCAATTAAGATCTAGTTTGTTTACATAAAAAAATTGGGAGAAGAACCATTGGTAATCAGAGGCCTTTTTGTTTGTTTGCTATAGGATGTATACACTTGCTGGAGAGAAACAGAGACAGAGAGAGAGGGAACATGAGATATCACTCCCTAGGGGGCATGGCCACACTGCAATCCCTTCTCTTCCATTCTCCTCTTGGGATTTTTTGGGCATGCATGAACATGCACCTGGTGTGTTTTCAAGCTACTGAGTCTGAGATTTGAACCATGCAGTCAGACATGTGGGATCCAGCCATCTTAATCTCCATACCACCTGCTGGTCCCAGAAGCTCCATTTTACCAGGTCCAGTTCCTTCTCATCACCCTGAATGCCTCTCTGTACTCAAGGGAAAGGGGCAAGATTGGAGATTTGAAGGCAATTTCAGCACTGACCCAACAGCCTGTCCAGAAGATGAAGTCCAAGGTAGAGCTTGCAGGGAAGGACCTAGGCAGTGACTTGATTGTCAGACAGTCCATAGCTAAGGCATCTGAGTCACAGAGTTCAGACTTGGTTGCTCCATATTGTTTGTTTGTTTTCTTGTTTATTTTTCTTTATTTATCTTTCTTTCTTTCTTTACTGGGGGAAGGGGCAACATAGGTTAGGGCAGTCACTGATGTGATGTCCATGACAAATAGAACAAATGAGGCAGCAGCCATCTTAGCCCTCTTCTCTAGGGCATTGGTGTTTTTGTTCCTCTTTCCTGGCCTGGCTCAGAATTTTAAGGGGGCATCAAAGTGAGCAGGGCTATACGTAGGTCTCAGTCAATTCTGAGTTGCTGAAAATGCACCAAGAGATTAGAAGCTCCACCAAGAACTAGGGCCATTGGTAGAGGTCTATATATGCATGGGGTAATGGGGGTGGGGAGGGATTCGTGGGTTAGCACAATAAATTCTATACTGCAGTACAGCGGCAAAACATCTAGTTAAAAATCCAGCAAAAATATAGGCAAACACTCCATAGAAGCATGCAGGTTAGGATCAAGGCAGTAGTAGGGAGCCTTTATGGTTCCCATGAGGGATGAGTTAAAACCAATGGGCCAACCCTGCCACCAGAGCACCACTTGGACATATGCAGACATACACACATATATGAACAAATACAAAAGGGTTATAGGAGTATGAGAAAGAGAGAGTGAGTGAGAGAGAGAGAGAGATCATCACATCTATATGATAAGATTTCACATGGTCTTTATAATAAGCAGGTGGAAAGCCACAAGGACTTTGTATCATTTTAATAAGCCAATCAGAAGAGATCTCCTGAAGTTATAAGATAGAGTTAGCAGGGATGAGGGGCAAGGAATACAACCAGGTCTGGCTGTCCTGCCCTCTCTCTTCATCTCCTTAAGATTAATTCATTCATTATTTAGCATCAGTTATTTTTCTGCCAGTCATAGAAAACTATGCCCAAACTCCCTGAATAGGTGAACTCACTTGAATCCTTTATAAATCTCAGGACATTCATAAAGAGCTTATCCCAGTGAATATTGTAGCTGCTCAAGATGCACAAAGAGAAGGTGAACTGAACAAGACAACTCAGAACAAGAATCTTTGGCCAATGAAAAAAAATGTAAATCTCTAAGGAGACCTTATTGAGTTTAGAAAAAAATCAATTAGTGTAAAGAATTGGAGGATCTCTCGTGATGGTGCTCGTGCTTGCTCAGAAATAATTTTCTCTAGCTTGTACTGAGGTTTCAGAAGTTTCATAGAATTCTCAATGTAAATTATCTTTACAGCTTTCAAGGGGTATAGCTGAGATGTTGTTGGTGATGGAGGATCATCAGCTTTCATTTCATCTTCATGATGTTTGTGATGCCACAAATTGCCTTCAGAGGAAAAAAAAAAGTATAGCAATAATGAAGTTGGTATATTGCCTGATCCACAAATATGTTACACCAAGAGATAGCAAAGAGTCTGTTAGGAGACAGAATAGTTTGTTCCTATCATACCAATCATCTCTGAACTATTAGAGAAAACCAACAAACATCATGTGATTAAAACAGAAATAGAATGAATTCTCAGAACCTGATCATATATGACACCACTATGGACTCCATCAGAGTCTTCAGAAATATTTTCAACACCATGGTCTTCCAGTTGACAGATTCTTGGGGAATAAAATCAGTTGGACCATACCTGAGGAACTATGGCTTTGTCCTAGAGATTTTCTCTTGACATCTATGTTTTTAGGTTCTCAAAAACAAAACAAACTGCTACTCTCCATCCATTTTTCCCCCATTTCCATTACTGCTATCTCTCTCAAGCTTCCAAGTAATCTAGGCCAAATATTTAGGTGAGATCATGGACATTAGACTTGGCACAACTGACAGCTTTGAGAACCTTCTTTGGAGTCCCATTAAGATATCAGTAACGCTTGGGTACAATTCTGAAGAGGGAAAGGAGAGAACCAAATCTCAAACAATAAAATCTATATAAATTTTGCATTTCCAGAGACTTATAATAACAGACAGGAAAAAAAGTGTTTAGATAGGTCACAGACCTGATCCTTCTGATACTTAGGAATGGACTAAATAGGAAAATAACTTGCTTGTTATCATTTTCCTCTCAGATGTGTAAATCAAAGATCACATAGCACTGTTCCTTTTCAAGCTCTGTCCTACCCATGTCCACATCACATTCTGACTTGCACTTTTTCCAGGAGACTGCTGGGTATACCCATGCCATAAAGTTGGCTCCCAGATGGCTCTCCTTTCATGTCATGTATAATGGGGCCTTCAAGTACCTGGGAAATATCCAGGCTTCTGGGAAGTCTTCCTGACTGCTATGTCTGAGTTGGGAGGGGAGGACTTACCAATCACTGGATTCCTTGGCCTGATTTAAGCTTGTCTTCCTCTTCCAGCTTTTGGGGAACTTAATTTTCAATCTGAGGCTTCTACTCTCAGTGTCAGAAGACTTTTCCTGTGAAACCACAGTAAGAAGATCAATATGTTAGCTGCCAAACATTCAGATATAATTTCTAGAATGCTGACAAGGTGGTGGTTGAGGATGGCTGCAGAAAATAGGCAGATATTTTCTCTGTACAAATAGGAGAGACACTTCTACTCACTGGTCACGTGCTCTAGTGCAGCAATGGATCTTTACCAGGAGTCTATTCTGTGCTAGGAGCCTTCATAGATACTTTAAGAAATGCTCTGATCAGAGCATCAAAACACCTTTGCAAAGTGGCTATTATCATTCCTACGTTAAATGAAACAGAGGCTCAGAAAGGTTACATATTTCACCTGAGGTCATATGACTAGGGATGGGAAGAGTGACATTGCTGGGACCACTGCTGTTTCATGTGGTGCCTCTTCATGGATTAGAAAAATGTACCCCTACCTTCACACATACAATTTGGTGAGACCTTATTTTCCCCCTTTACCAAGTATTTGCTTATTGTGAAGACTGATTTCCAGGCCACCTGCTTCCCTATCTTTAATGCAAAGATGGTTTTTCAAACATAGTTCTTAACTGGGAATGTGAGTAATCTGCTGTGCTGATTGCTCTGTAATTCTAGCTCACCTCCTGGTCTCTTGCTCCTGCTAAAGTATGTTCATTTTACTTACGGTCTCAGTAAAACATAATTCTGAGGTTTACATTGATGCCTGAAAGTCCATCCAAACATATTTCAAGAGAAGCTTTGAGATTATCATCCTTTTGAGACCATTTATACTTTTAGCACCTGCCATTAGGAGACAAGTATAAGCCTCTCCTCATCTTCTTCCTGCTCTGACTCCTCCTTACCCTCTCTCTAGTCCTGCTCTTGGCTCTGTATACTGGCCTTCAGAATTCTATTTAGAAGCAACTTCAAGGAAGGACCCAAGACCTTTTCCTTACCCAAGTCCTTGGAACAGTCAATGAATAATTGACTTTCTCCCACCAAAACGGAACTGAACCTTCTTTGGCCTCAAGATGGGCAAGTTTAGCGTCAAAAGAATGAGCATCACCTTCCTAGCTTTCTTTCAAACACTTTTGCTTAGAATCTCACTTCTTCATCTCTATGGAAATCCTGGAGTTTAGGAAGCAGTTTAGGTTTCAGGACAGGCAGACTCACATATAAATTGGGACTTCAGGGAATGGCCGGTGTTTGTCTAATTTCTGTCAATAGCCAGACCATTGGCTAGTCCAGAAGCTTGGAGTAATAAGGAAGGGGGTGCATCAGTTTCTTAAAAGAATTATTTATTTATTTATTTTAGTATTATTACTATTCTTATTTTGAATTGGCTACAGGGCACATGTCCTCACAAGAGAAAGATAGGGGTGGAGGAGAGGGGAGTGAGGAAGCAAGCCATTAGGTCCAGCACTTGACTGTGGTTTGCCATGTGGGAATCCAGCACCTTAACCACCAACCTCCTAATGACTTCTGCATTCTTTTCTTCTCTCTCTCTCTCTCTTTTTTTTTTAAGAATTATTTTACTTAATTTTATTTATTTATTTTAATTTTACCAGAGAGGGAGAGAGAGAGGTGAGAGAGAGAGAGAGAGAAAGAGTGAGAAAGCAAGCTGCCAGGTCCAGGACTTGAACTGTGATCAGCCATGTGGGAGTCCAGTGCCCTTAACCACCATGCAACCTGCTGCCCCTCTCCCCCCACATTCTTTTCTAATACAAACTTTCCCTTCCCCAGATGGCTACAGACCAAGAGCAGCAGATGCCAAAGTTCCTTGGAAAATGCCTGGGCCATTAGCAAGGGTGTAGGAAAAAGTTTTAAATCCTTCAAGACCTTCATTTGTATATGCATCTTTCTTTAAAATGGTAGGCTAATTGCTGCTCTAGTCCAATAATGTCTGGATAACTTGCACATATGTATACAACTGGTGTGTGGGACCAGAAAATAGGTATAATGTGGAGGGGACTGAGGGATTCCACTAGTTGATGTATGTGGTTACATGGTGAGGAACTTTAAGAAAAATACTATCGTATCATAAAAGGAGTGTTTTACTTAGTGATAGATGAAAATATTTGGGTCATTTAATTCATAAAATGGGACTACATTTGTTTTCCTTTTCCTTTATTTTTATTATTCTTTAAAAAAATTTGATCACTACATACCATTTGGCTTGTAAAGAGGATTTACCCAACATGAAATATTTCTCAGACCAGTCCAGTTGCGAATACTATACACGTTATCATTAACAGGTAATAAATCATTTCTGTGTCCCACAAATGTCATGCCTCTCTATTTTTCCTCCCTGATTTCCTTCCCTATACTCTTGCCTTCTTCTCTACTCTTCCACACTGTCTTCAGTGTCCATAACTATTTTCATTGCTTCTATGTCCTCCAATATTTCAATATTTTTCAATCTCAGAAAAGCATTCAGAATTGTCCATATATGGCAGCATCCTTACAGCTG